AAGTCTGCACGAGGATCCACAGCATCTCTCTGCCGCAAGCAGCGGCACACGTCTGATCACATAATTGCATGCCTTCAATGTCACTTTCGCACATAAACAGGCAGGCACGGGCAGGCAGACAGACTGACGACTGACTGAAAACACACACTGACAGATTTAGCAGACATAATATCATGCGGTTCCACCTCACCTTGATGACACAACAAAGGAATCTTTGCTACCTGGCGTCGTGCCACTTGAAAATACATGCCTCCTACAGATCTGGGGACGCCTTTTGAAGCGTTGCGCCGCACCAAGAAGCATGAACATCGTCTGAAACTTGTGAGATGGGTGTGGAGCATATAGGGGTGGGGACGGTGGCAAATTCCGGGGACGAGCCACAAACAAGACCACGCTTTCTGCATCTGTCTGCACACTCACTTGCAACCTGAAGTCGCGACGCAATGGATTTCGTTTTGGCCCAAGATCCTGGACCTCTTGCCACCCTGACTCACAACCCTCAACTCGAAAAGCGAACCTAAGCCAGGACACACCCCCAGGCTCTTTTCTTCACAATGTGGATCGCATTGCCTTGGAACAGCCGTTGCCATTCAACCTCGACGAGGCCGCAGCGGATGAGCCGGCGTGTGATGCCCACACTCCCGAGGAAAGACTTCGTTTCATTTGCGTTCCCCGCAACCAGACCCGCACCTGCAGCCGTGTCGACAAGAAACATGGCGAACTGCGACTCCACGCGGCATTGACGCCAAATTCTGGGAGGCCACCGTTCGAACCATCGGAAGGAGCTCTGCCCAGGGCCTCATCGTCGTTGCAACCCCAGCTGTCTCAGCTCATCCATGGCTTCCGCATCTGCGGCAGCATGGCCTGACACGTCCCGCGGCCGGTTCGCCAGCTGATGTGTCAAGCCAGAACGCCACACAGACAAGTCTCCACCCAACATGTAGGGGCCTCCACAATGCAACGCGCGCACTTTCGGAGGCCCCTGAACTTCTCGATGCTGCACCACAGGGTCCTGCAACAATGCAACGGAATCACACTAATCACACCTAAACCATCCCCATACGGTAGTGCACGCAGTCTCCAAAACCTACTGCCGCTGCCGATCTTACGGATTAAATTTTGGTTTGGTGGGATTTGGTGGGCACGTGCGCCGTCGCAGAGGCCTGGGAACTACCGAGATCAACAAGACAAACCAACAGAGCTCGTTTGAGGTAACGACCAACTTAGTCGCATCCAGGTCTGAACTTGCTTGAATGTTGCTGCTTGGGTTTTGATTTGCGGGGGAGTGTTGCATACGGAAGAAAGACGTATGTCATGCTTACATAGTCTTCTCACCACGCGACAATAGCACACAAGGGATTGTTGATCTACTTGCTGTGTCACAGGTCTCATATAGAAATGGCCCACCTCGTTTCTTTTGCAGGCGCCCCAGATCAAAGGCTGCCCCCCGCCCCCTCAAGAAACTCTGATGGACAACTTGTGGAACAGAGCCGAATATGGACCCACCAGCGTTGTGGAAGCATTGCTGTGAGCACGACCAGGATTACTGGCTGTACGAGAAACTACCATGGCATCACGGAAATGGGGTTGATAGACTGTTGATCGCATATAAGGAAGAACTCACGAACTGGAGTAACTGGAGTAATCACACATGGCAAGGCCGCCTGCCCTCAGAGCCGCAGCTCGTCCGTGTCCACGGATGACGATGTGCAGCAGAACAGCTCGCCCATGGCCTTGCAAGCGAGCGCAGGTATATGCAGCAACACTGCA